CCCTGAGTTCCACTCCACAATGAAACGAGATCCTGCAGTATTTGATTATCTGTGCCTGGCTGATTTTGCTTCACTTAATGACCTTTGGGTTCATTGACATTGACTGTATTAGTCAGCTTTGGCACCGAGGGACAAAATACCTGACACCCATGACTTAAAGGAGGAGAGGCTTATTTGGCTCCTGGGTTCATTTTTTGTTTATTTGTTTGTGTTTTGAGACAGGGTTTCCCTATGTACTCCAGGCTGGCCTTGAACTCAGTATGTAGCCCAGTCTGGCCTCGAACTCATAGAAATCCTCCTGCCTCAGCCTCCTGAGTGCTGGGATTACAGGTGTGCACCACTATGTCCAGCTGGCTCACAGTCTCAGAGGCCTCAGTCCATGGATCCCTGGCCCCAAAACAAGAACAGCATGGTGGGAAGATGTGGGAGAGCAAAGCTGCTTAGTTCATGTTGGCTGGGAAGCCAAGCAAGGAAACAGTAACCACCAGAGAGGAGGGGCCAGAGACCCATACAGTGCCCAGAATCAGGTCCCTGTGGCAGGCACACCCAGAAGTGTGCCACACCAATCCATTGTCTGGCTCCCAGCCCAGTCAAGTTTACTTAGTTAAGCTTTACTACCACGTTTCACCTCTTGTCAACTTGGTACACAAACACATCTCCTTAACCCATACTTATCCCCAAATAAACCCAGGAATAACTTAGTAATTTCACCTGACATATGCAACTATACCATGTATAGGGAAAGCACAATGATTGCTTCCCCAAAGTCTCAGCAGTCTCAGCATTTCTCAAAACTCCAAATCCAAAGTCTCCTCCGAAAGCTGGACATGGTGGCACATGCCTAGAATCCCAGCACTGGGAGGCTGAGTTCAAGATCACTGAATTCAAGGCCAGCCTGGCCTACATACTGAGTTCAAGAGCAGCCTGAACTGCATAGCCAGATCTCATCTCAAAGAACAACAAAAAAAAACCAAAGCCTTCTCTGAGACTCAAGCAGTGAATCACTGTAAAAATCAAAGATAGGTTATATAATTTCAAAGTACAAGCGAATGAGGTAAACATTCCCATTCCACAAGGGTGGTAGAAGAGGATTTAAAAAATCAGACCGAAGCAAGACCAAACCCCAGCAGGGGCTGGGGATTTAGCTCAGTGGTAGCATGCCTGACTGAAAAGTGCAAAGTCTGTCTCCAGTAACAGAAAGAAAGAAAAAAAAAACAAACCAAGATTTAAAACAAAACCCAGTAGGGGGCCAGAGATTTACTTCAGTGGTGCCATTGCCTGCCTTGCAAGTGTAAGGTCCCAAGTTCAGTCCTTGGTACCGAAAAAAAAAAAAAAACCCAGCAGGGCAAAGCTTAAGTCCTGTACCTCTGTAATCAAACTCTAGGGCACATAGTTTTATTATTTTGGTACTGGGGATTGAACTCGGGACCTTGCACTTGTGAAGCAGACATGGTGCCCCTGAGCTGAATCCCCAACCTTGGGGCACATAGTTTTGAGATGTGAGTTTGAGGGGCTGTGGGAGGCCCATTCCGGGGCTTTTTGGGTCACAGCACACAGAACCTCTCTCTCGGGCTAGCTCCTACTCAGGGCCTGTAGCTGTCTTGGCAAATGTCCCACATTTCTGGTTTATCCAGTGCCCTAGGTCTTGCCTTCATTCCTACAGCTTCACGCACTGCCCTTTCAGGCCTCACTGCCTGGCCTCCCAGGCCTTCCTTGGAAATCTGGGTGGAAGCATCTCTGACCTCACAACTCATTCTGCATGCACCTAAAACCAGCATAACATAGATGATGCCAAAGTCTGCTTTGAGCAGTAGCCAGGCCCCCTTGGA